TAAAGGGTATGTTCAGAAGTCTCAGTGATGAAATATTTTAAGGCTGTCTACCTGAGATTAGGAATGACACAAGAATGCCACTCATCACTTTCATTCAGCAACATACTGAGGATCCTAACCAGGATAATATGAAGCAGCAATAAGATGTAGAAGGATTGGAAAGGAAGACATAAAAGTTATTCAGAGGCAACATGATTGTATATATAGAAAATTCAAAATAATCTACAAACTATTAGACTTAATAACTGAGTTTTGAAAGTTTAGTAAATCAATATATAAAAATCAATTTATTTTATTTTATTTGGTGAGGAAAATTGGCCCTGAGCTAACATCTCTGCCAGCCTTCCTCTATTTTATCTGTGGGACACCTGCTACAGCATGGCTTGACGAGCAGTGTGTAGGTCTGTGCCCAGGATCTGAACCCATGAACCCCAGGCTGCTAAAGCAAAGTGCGTGACCTTAACCACTACACCACCAGGCTGACCCCTCAGTTGTGTTTGTAATATACCAGCAACAAACAGCAAAAAATTTGAATTACCATTTACAATATCAAAAAACATAAAATGTGTAGTATTAATTCAAATTAAAGATATGTAAGACTTCCTCACAGAAACTATAACATTATTAAGAGAAATTTAAAAAAAGATTTGGTTAGATTAAATGAAGAGAAATACCATATTTATGGATTGGAGAGTTCAATATTGTAAAGATTCCCATTCTTTCCAATTTTATCTATAGATTTAATGCAGTCTCAAAATTCCAGAGGCTTTTTTTGTTTTAATGAAAATTGTCAAGCCCATTCTAAAATTTCTACGGAAGTATCATGAACCAAGGATAGCCTAAACCAAATTGAAGAACAGAGGTGGGGGACTATCAAAATTAGTTCTAAGGCTCTAATAATTTATACAGGTAAATTGGTGTAAGGATAGATAAATAGTACAGAATCAAGCTCTGGAAACAAACACACAGAAATGGAAACTTAATTTATTGCAGAGGTAGCCCTTGAGAGCAGGCGGGAAAAGATTTTCATTTACTTACTTGTTTTTCAAATAAATTGTGCTGAGTCAATTGGACATTCATGTAGCACAATACTAGTTTTAGCTCCTATCTCACATGTACAGAAACTAATTCCAGGTGGAGTGTATATGTGAATGTGGAAGGTCAACCAGTAGAGTTTCTGGAGGGTAACTTCATGAATGAAAGACATCTTCATGACTGTGGGATGGGTACATTTTTTAAACAGGATACTGAAAGTGCTAACCATAGAAAGTAAGGGTGATAAAATGTACAACATTTAAATTAGGAACTTTTCTTCCGTAAGAGACTTGAGTGAGGACATATTTGCAATACATATAGTCATCAAAGTGATTATATCCAAAATATGTAAAGAACTACAAATATGTGAAAGACGAAAACAACCAGTGAGAAGAATGGGCAAAAGAGATGAATATGCACTTCACAAAAGAATCTGTCCAAATGGGTAATTACCATGTAGGAAGGGATAACTTCTTAGTCATCACGGAACTGTAAATTAAAACCACAGTGCTCACTCAAAAAAATAGATAAAATTAAAGAGACTGAGCATCCTAAATTTTAGCAAGGTTGTGGAGCACCCACAACTCTCATATATTACCGGTGGGGGTGTAAGTTGGTACAGTGACTTTGGAAAATTGGCAGTATCTACAAACACTAAGCATACAAACACCTATGATCTGGCATTTCTGCTCTTACCTGGGAGAAATGCATATGCATATATGCTCACTGAAAGCTGTGCACTAGAATATTGGTGGCAGCATTATTTAAAATACCTGAGAAGCGGAAATAACTCAAATGTGCATCAGCAGTAGGATGGATAGATAAACTGAGGTAAATTTCTACACTGGAACACTTCACAGCAGTGAAAACCAATCAGCTACTACTACATGCAACAACATGGATGAAGTTTACAAATAAGATTTTGACTAAAAGGAGCCAGACACAATATAATACTTTATGGCCCCATTATATATCAAATTCAAAAACAGGCAAAACTAATCAATAGTGTTAGAAGTTATAGTATTGGAAGTTGTCATAGTAATAATTTTTGGAGAGATGCAGTAAGGGAAGCCACACAAGATTCAGAGGTGCTGATAATGTTTGGTTTTACGTTCTAGGTGATAGTTATATAGGTATGTTCACTTTGCGGTAATTCATAAAAGTGTGTTTACATAATTTGCAACTCTTCTGTATGTATATTAAAAAATTTTATTCCAAATAATCATTATTTTGTAGTTTCCCAACTCACAAATAATATGTTTATATTAAGCCATGAATGTGAATAACTGGCATTAATTGAAAAAAGTCGTGTTAATTTGCAAGCTTAAAGTTACATCTAGAGTTATGTTATAAATTATAATTATTATAAATATTGCTATATTAGATGTTTCTTTAATAATGAGCTATATATGTTTCTGTTCTGAAAAGCTTTTGGAAGTTAATAATTTTTGGAATGGGAAATTATGAAGACTGGTCCATTTTTGCCAGATCTTTCAGGTGAAGTGTGACTTTAAATGTTTTTCAATTAACGTACACATATCTTACAATGTACATTCAACTGATAGCACTGAAACCCTACAGTATGTTGAGAAGCTATACTTTTCAGATCCTTTGAGGATGGTAAAGTCAGTAAATATAAATATAATTTTATAGTACTGTCATGATGTTTCAGTCAATGACAGACCACGTATGCAATGGTGGTCCCATAAGATTAGTACCATAGAGCCTAGGTGTGTAGTAGGCTATACCATCTAGGTTTGTGTCAATGCACTCTAAGATGTTTGCACAATGGCAGAAGCACCTAACGATGCATTTCTCAGAATGTATCCCCATTGTTAAGCAATGCATAACTGGATATATTCTGGTTTTATAAGGCAAAATATTCTTTGAGGCTACTTAGGTAATGCTTTGTTGGATTATATAGACACCTGAATAATGATAGGGGAAATTTCTTTGCAGCTGCCTAATTTTGATTCTTGATCTCTATTAAAAAAATTAAAAAATTATCATCACTTTGGGGAGAAAGGAAAAAATGGAACTAACAAGAACCAAAGCAAAGTGCTACGCCCTATGTTTTCAGTTAATAATTTTATATGAAATAATTTTTCTCCCATTGTTAGAGAATTGATAATATATACTAGAATTAAATTCTATTATGACCACATTAAATTCAGCTTTTTTCATTAAAACATTTTAATTTGAAACAATTTTCATTGAATTCTTTTTCAAATTAAAAAAAAATCTAGAATTGTATTGTTACTCACCAGCCATGTTTCTTGCTATTTTCTTTTTTTTTTTTTTAAAGGTGTTGTGGAATCTTTACTGAGAAATATTACTGGCGATTACATTAGGACTACAAGTTCCTCATTTACTATCTTTACTTTCCATTTCAAAAAAATTATCTTCAACAATATTCTTTTTTTTTTTTTTGAGGAAGATGAGCATGGAGCTAACATCTGCTGCCAATCCTCCTCTTTTTGTTGAGGAAGACTGGCCCTGAGCTATCATCCTTGCCCTTCCTCCTCTACTTTTTATGTGGGATGCCTACCACAGCATGGCTTGTCATCTGGGATCCAAACTGGCAAACCCCAGGTCGATGAAGCAGAGTGCATGAACTTAACCGCTGTGCCACTGGGCCAGCCCCATGAATATTCTTGATCATAATTTCTACATGCTGCCTCTTTTCTGCCTTGAGTCATTCCTATTATTTGTTCTTCAACTCTTTTTTGTGTTGTTGTCTTCCTATTTTTTAAGCTGATTCTACTTTGTGTCTGTGTGCATGTATGTCTATCTGCAAGTTATGCTATTACCAACACCAGTAGATTTCAGAAGTGACCTTTTGTCTTGTTTATAAACCTAACAGTTAAGAAAATTAATTTAATGAAATAGTTTAACTCTTTAGCTATGTGTCTCTAATAACAGACACTGAATCATAAATGAAAGGAATTTCAGCTATTTTGGCCTGGAGACACATGTTGGTGTACTGGATTCTGGTGTGATAATTCAGTCGTTTACTTAGTGACAAATCCAGCAACCTATTTGTATTACTATGGACTTAATCTACTCACAGATAGTGTTTCTACTACCTACCTGTCACCTCCCCCTCTCTGCCCCAGCCACCATCATGGCCTCCTTGCTGTTTTGGTAGCTAGTGAGCGTGATTCTACCTCGGCACTTCTCTTGATACCTCTGCTCACATCTCTGTTTCCCCATATCCTCCTTAGACTCCATCCCTCATTATATGCAGGTCTCTGTTTAAAAATTACCTCAGAGATGCGTGCTCTGACTCTTCTCTCTAATTATCCCCATCATTCTCTATTCTTATTCCTTGCTTCATTTTTTTCTAGCGTTTATCACTACCTGATGTTTTGTTATATTTTTGTACCTTTCTCAGTAAATACAAGCTTCATGAGGGCAGGGACTTAATTGGTTTTGTTTACTACTGTATTTCCAGCACCTAGGTCCAAGACAGACACATAGTAATGCAATGTATAGATATTTGTAGTTTGAATGAATGAATGGATGGATGAATGGAAGAAATATAATTAATAGGAAATAGTTGCATGATTTAGCCCTCAGTTAATTCTGCAGAATTCATTTATTCTCTAAACAAATGTAGAATCATTGTTAGTTCCAGCATGGCTGTCTTTATAGGGATTGGTGGTAAATTTTAAATAAACTCTAATAATATAACAGACTTCTCATCTTGTTATTATCCTTTAAAGGAGGAGCAAAAGGGAAAGGGGGGAGGTAATATACATAGTATTTAATTTTGCCTTTTATGAAATAAATCATGACTAAAAATATGTTTTGAATGCATCGTGTTTGTTCTTGTTTGTAATGGTTCAAAAATATGATAGGTAGTAACTGCTCAAGTACCACTTAAAGTTGTGGATTTCTATTGATTTTGTTTGTTTTCCTCTTTCTATCTATTCCCACCCTACCCCACCCTCACGTTTTTAAAGAATCCAACCCAAGTTGGGACAGCTCTTCAGGTTTTCCATAATCTTGGAACTTTGAAGGATACCATTACCAGTGTTGTGGATGGATACCGTGCTGCTTTAGAAGAGAACATCAGCAGTGCGTTAGACATCAAAGTTTTGACTCAGCCTTCCCAGTCAGCTGTGAGAGGTATGGATGTGGTTTATATTTAGCGGCTTTATTTATTTATAACTGAGAAGTCCTTTGAATAGTATGTGAAATGCTCAAGTATCAAAGCAATCTAATGACTCATTTTTTTAGTAGACAGAAAATGAGAGAAGAAATTATGTTTCAGAATTTATTTATAACTTTTTTGTCTAATCAGTGAGTTGAACTGGCCAAATGGTATATTCAGAAGTTCTAGATAAAAATCTGTAAACCGTGACTTCATTTAGTTCAGAGGAAACAGATGCAAGAAAAAAAAGAAACATATTTTTCTTCCTAAAATCTTTATCCTCACATGTACTTCTTACTGAGACAGAAAATATTTTTTAAAGAAATGCAATCTGGACCTTAGTTTTCTGGGCTTTTCCTTAGGATAATTCTGGTATTCAGGAGCAACAAAGGCTAACTCTGGAGATGGAAACTGATAAAACCTTTGGGAACATTACGACTATAGCAAAATCTAAAGAAAACGACTAAAGAAAGGTCTGAGAGAGGCCGAGCCCTACATTAGCAGTCCTCAAGTCTTTTCCGGCCCAGACGCACCTGATGACGACATTCACATATAAAAGACACGTCACGGACAAGAATGACTACACGTTATGTGTACGTCTCACTTAGCTAAGCGACCCCATCTCTGCATTTTTATCCTATATTCTTTCTTCTCTCCTTTATTCTGGATGAACTGTGCTTGCTCCCAGCAGGACCAGCTGCCCTCCTTTTGTGTTAGATGCCATCACTCCGGGGCGTTGCTTGAGCAGATGCCCCCTCTGCCGCACAGTCAGTTTTTCCTTCTAGTCTCTTTTGCGTCACATACAATTGTGCTATTGTATCTTTCTTCTGCAGAAAGACAGTTCAGTCTAACTTGACCTCACTTTTTCCTTCAGTTCTGCTACACCATTTTATTCCTTCAGACCACAGAAAAATTCTCCAAAGTACCGTCTATACTTACCGTCTCCTGTTTTTCTCTTCCCTTTTTTCTATTGAAGAAGGTATTCTGATCATCGTAGAGTTGCCCTAAGGAATAAATGAAATAATGCACATAGACTTAATGACAGAGTCATGATACATGGTTAATAGTAAAAAATATTTGCAGGCATTGATTATTATTTTTATATTTGCTATATAAACATAACCTTAAATAACACAGAATATGTGTCACTCATTAATAAGTTGCACAAGATAAAAAGGGATAAAAGAATCTTAGATCTTAAAGGGATTTTTAAAGGTTAGCCCTAGCTTCTGACTAGGTGTGTATTAAGACTCCCCCAGAAGGAGAGCTTTGAAAAGAAATTGTCAAAGGAGATTTCACACTCAGCTTTTCCCAGCAATTATTCTCAGAAAGTTTGATCTAATGTTTAAATTTCCAGAAGCAGTTTAATCTCATTCCCTCTTATGTTGTCAAGAATAGGAGAAAAATGAAAGCAGTTATTCACATGCTGTCAATCCTAGTGTACACCCTTTTGTTGAAAGAATAAAGAGTTTTAAAGCTTTACTATCATCTGTTGAGGAGTAGATACTGTGATTTAATGTGGAAAACTTAAGCATCAATTCTTTATTGTTTAAGAGAATAATCACTATTATTTTTACTTTTTAAAATGTTACGTTGGCAGTATTAATGTTGATTTCCTGATTTGGTTGGTTATGCTGAGATCATGTGGTAGAATGTCCTTGTTGGAAATACACATTAAAGTTTCACGGATGATGGGGCATCATGTCAGTAACTTGTTTAGAAATGACTCAGGGAAATTTTCTTTTGCTATACTTTCAAATTTTCTATACATTTAAGGTTGTTTCAAAAAATTTAAAATATATAATGGTAATACAATTTTAAGGGAAAAAATGTTACCTATGATGTATTAAGAAGTTTATAATTCAGTAAGAGAAAGATAGACAACTCAGTTGAAAAAAGTAGATAAAGAATATGAAGTCAGTTAACAGAAGAACACATCCAATAAACATGTGAAAAGATGTTCAGCCACTTTTTAGAAGATGAACTAGTTATCAGGGAAATACAAATTAAAGAAGGTTCTACTTTTCAATCATGAGATTGGCAAAATCTGAGACAGAACTAAGTGTTGGATGAGAGTAGAAACTCTTGTACACTGATTTTAGGAGAATAAAATGATTCAAACACTTCACTCAGTTTTATCAAATTGCTCTCTAAGGTTAAAATGTGTGTACCTTATGATCTTAGCATTTCTCTTGTAAGAATATACCGTAGAAAACTCAGGCACACAGGTATAAGAATTTTTATTACACTGCTGTTTATAATGAAAAAGTGAAAATGACCTTTCCTGCAATGGTAAATTCAATAAACTCGTTTATTTATTAAGTAGACTCCTGCACAGTATTTAAATTAATAAATTTACCAATATAGATAATTCTCAAAAACATTACATGAGAATTAAGTTGTGGAAAGATACATACAGTATGATACCATATTTAAAGCCTAAGAACATGACAGATTATGCTATATATTGTTTTGCGTATGTACATATGTAATACAAGTATCAAATATGCGTTGTAATAATAATCATCAAATTTGGAATAGCATTAGCTCTGAGAAGACAGCAGGGAAAATGAGACCAGGAAGGGAGGGATATACAAGGAACTTCAGTCAATTTATTTATTCATTTTTTTAATCCTTTTTTAAATTTTATTTTTTTAGAGCAGTTTTAGGATCACAGCAAAATTAAGGGGAAGGTACAGAGATTTCCCATATCACCCCCCCACCCCACAAATGCATAACCTCCTCATTGTCAACATCCCCCACCAGAGTGATAGATTTGTTAGCAAAGATGAAATAACATTGACACGTCATAATCACCCAAAGTCTGTAGTTTACCCTAGGGTTCACTCTTGATGTTGTCCCTTCTATGGGTTGGGACAAAAGTATAATGACGTATATCTATCATTATAATATCATATGGAATGCTTTCACTGCCCTTTTAAAAAGCCTCTGTACTCTGCCTGTTTATCTCCTCCCTTCCTACTCCTGGCAACCTCTGATCTTTTTATTGTCTACATAGTTTTGCCTTTTCCAGATGCCATATAGTTGGAATCATACCATTTGTAGCCTTTTCAGATTGGCTTCTTTTTAATATGCATTTAAGCTTCCTTCATGTGTTTTCGTTTTCATGGCTTGATAGCCCTTTTTTTTTTTTTTGTACTGCTGAATAGTATTTCATTATATGGGTGTATCACAGTTTATTCATCCACCTACTGAAGGACATCTTGGTTGCTTTCAAGTTTAGGCAATTATGAACAAAGCTACTATAAACATCTGCATGGAGGGTTTTATGTGGACATAAATTTTCAACTCCTTTGGGTAAATACCAAGGAGCATGGGATATTGTATAAGAGTATGTTTGGTTTTGTAAGAAGCTGCCAAACTGTCTCCCAAAGTGGCTGTGCCATTGTGCATTCCCACTAGCAATGTATGAGAGCTCCTGTTGCTCCACATCCTCACGAGCATTTGGTGTTCTCAGTGTTCCAGACTTTGGCCATGCTAATAGGCATGTTGTAGTACCTCACTGTTGTTTTAATTTACATTTCCCTGATGATGTAGGATGTGGAACATCTTTTCATATGCTTGTTTACCATCTGCATATCTTCTTTGGTGAGGGAGGTGTCTGTTGTCTTTGGCCTGGTTTTCTTTTTTTTTTTGAGGAAGATTAGCCCTGAGCTAACGTCTGCCACCAATCCTCCTCTTTTTGCTGAAGAAGGTTGGCCTTGAGCTAACATCTGTGCCCATCTTCCTCTATTTTATATGTGGGGCGCCTGCCACAGCGTGGCTTGATAAGCAGTGTGTAGATCCACACTCTGGATCCAAACCTGCAAACCCCGGGCTACCAAAGCAGAATGTGCAAACTTAACCACCGCACCACCAGGCTGGCCCCTGGCCTGGTTTTTAATTGGGTTGTCTGTTTTCTTATTGTTGAGTTTTAAGAGTTTTTGTATATTTTGGATAACTGTCCTTTCAGATGTGTCTTTTGCAATTATTTTCTCCCAGTCAGTGGCTTGTCTTCCAGTTCTCTTTATACTGTCCTTTCCAGAGCAGAAGTTTTTAATTTAACGAAGTTCAACTTATCAGTTCCTACTTTTATGGATCATGATTTTGGTATTATATATAAAAAGTCGGTGCCATGCTTAGGGTCATCTAGGTTGTCTCCTCTGTTGTCTTCTAGGAGTTTTATAGTTTTGCATTTTACATTTTGGTCTATGATCTATTTGAGTTAATCTTGGTGAAGGGTGTAAGGTCTGTATCTAGATTCATTTTGTCTAGATGTCAAGTTGTTCTAACATCATTTGTTGACAAGACTATCTTTGCCACATTTTATTGCCTTTGCTACCTTGTCAGAGATCATTTGACTATATTTATGTGGGTGTATTTCTTGGCTCTTTATTTTATTCCATGGATCTGTGTATTCATTTGCCAATAGCACACTGTCTTGATTCCTGCAGCTTAATTGTACGTCTTGAATTTGGGTAGTCAGTCTTCCAACTTTGTTATTCTTCAGTCTGATCTTGGTTCTTCTGGGTCTTTTGTCTCCCCAGATAAATTTTAGAATTACCTTGTTGACATCCTGAAAATAACTTGCTGGGATTTTGATTCAGATTGCATTGAATCTGTAGATCAAGTTGGAAAGAACTGACATGTTGACAATATTGAGTATTCCTATCCATGAACGTGGAATATCTCCACTTATTTAATTCTTCTTTGATTTTGTTCATCATAGTTTTGTAGTTTTCCTCTTATAGAACTTATACATATTTTGCTAGATTTATGCCTGACTATTTCATTTTTTGGCTAATGTAAACAATATTATTTTCAATTTCAAATTCCACTTGTTCATTGTTGGTATATAGGAAAGCAGTTGGCTTTTGTGTATCAACCTTGTATTCTGCAACCTTGTTTTAATCGCTTATTAGTTCCACGAGTTTTTTTGTGATTTTTTTCTGATTTTGTACATCAATAATCATAT